CATCAAGAAGCGGCTGCAGCACGGTGATGACGCATCGCTGGAAGAGCATCACCTTCTCCACGGCAGACATTGAAGAAGGGGGGATAGGAAGGAGAGAAAGTAGCGTGTGCACGACTTTCCCCCATCACTTGGCCTGGGAGATGTTTGCAAGCGTCATCATTAGCGGCCACGCCTTCTTCCGGCTGTTGTTGCTCATGTGCGTCACATCCGAGTATAGGATGATACCCCCCACGACTTCGGACCATCCAAAGTGTTCCTGCAAAGCACGACAAAGAGGGATAAGGCACACGGTCAAACACCAACAAGGTAACTTGTCGCCACGCGGACTAAGCATGCTTCAAAGAAGCCCCCACAAACATGACACACTGAAGATGCTCCCTACACATCAGCGCATCAACGGAGGCATGCGCACTCTTTTGGTTTTGGGTGGCAACGGGGTATTTCCATACCTGAGCATCGTTCCACCACGTTCCAGTTTCCGGCGTGGTATAGCGCGCGCCTGTGTCAGGGTCCTCATTGACACGAGCCTTGAGCTTGAAGCCGGGCGCGTTGTTGGTATGCCCAAACAGTTCGGCAAATGCCTGGCGTACAGTGGCAAGAGCAGGAGAGAACCAAACCCTGGTTAGTGGCGTTGAAGGTGGGTCAGATCTCACACAAGCCTAACAGAGGCAACGTTCAACAAGCACCAAATGGATGCAGAATCAGCATTTCACAGCCACGGATCCAGATTCAACTTACCTGCCCAGAGTTCTGGAAGAGAAGGCGCTGTGGCGGATGACCGTCAATCTCGAAGGTCGCCACTGACCATCCGCGATTGAGCCCGACCAAGCGCTCCATCTCGAACCGCTCAAGTTCCTTGCAGTTCCGGATCTTTGAGATCACAAGAGGCGCAAGGCCGGGCTCCATCACGAGCTGAAGCAGGCCATTGATGTCGATCTCCGCCATTCCCATTCCGCCATTTACGCGCCGCACGAAATGTAGCAGCTTCAACGCAAGCGGATTGAGGGGCATGGCATTGCTCTGCCTAGAGATGCATGTTGGCGGTGCGGCGTGAGTCTCTTCAGGGCGGCTCTCCGGATGCTCACTCGTGTCAGAGGCATGTCTTCCTGGAGGCGGTTGATGCTCATTTTCAGGAGCCCCCACGTTCACAGCCGAGGGTGTTGCGTCCCCGTCAGCTTCGGGCACGCGAGGAGGACCATTCACACCGTCGGTGTTGGACGCGTTAGACGCGGTACGGGAAGCGGGTGCAGCGGGAGCGTCTGACAGAATGTCGTGGACGAATAGCAGAGTGTGTAGACCAGCGGACGGTGCAGACGAGGAGGGCCTTGCCACGGCAGAAAGCCCTTGACAAGGGGTACGCCGTGACTTATGGCCGCCATAAACCTGGGCGTTGGGGAACCATCTGTTGCAGAACCCGCATACTACGCCTGGCAAAGAGCCCATGTATTCTAGATCCGTCTAAGAGTAATGGAATGTAGTGTGAGGAGACTAGCCAGTTTGAAGCTTGTAAACGCTTGTACTTCACGGTCAATGAAGGCTCAGACTCTAGCATGGTCATCGCCACAGCGCGAAGTGTCCACGGCAGCTTGGATCTCTGCACGCCTGGCACTTGATCGTGGCGCATTGGTGAGAGACTGGCTAACGATGGTCGCACTGCGCGGCCGTGACAAGCCTAGATACAAACCGCCAACAGCACGGCATAGGCCTTTCCTACAAGGCGTGTCGCCCCCTGTTAGAGTGATTACGACGTGAGCAGGGCCTTATGCAGTGGTGTACGGCTAGCTTGGTCGCGGGCGTGCGTGACGAGCACGGTGAGGTGTACGTGCCTCCATATTCAAAACTTCGGTTTTTGAATCATGTGTGAGAGTCAAGGTGGGAGAGGAAGGGAGGGAAGAGATCTGTTTGGTGTTGTGATTCTTTTGAGAGTCTCTATAGGGGGAAGATCGCGATCACGTAGGTGTGCCCAAAGTGGTGCGCACCCCCATAGCCTTAATCCAAACCAGGTAATACCATTGTACAGTTACATATAACAAATTACTTAATGTCACTCATAACGATTATACGACCATACTTTATGGCATGCTCAATACCTTTTGGCATATTGACAACGGCAGTGGTCTGCTACAATTTGGGAAGCAACACCATTCCACAACCGTTTCACCATGTCGCGTAAGCCACGGGCCTGAACGCTGCAACGTCGCCGCGACTGAACAGTGATGTCGAGAACGCATCAAAGCTTGTGCATTGGGCCTGTGCTTCATACCACTCCTTCTAAGCACCTTGTTGGATGTCCGTGCAAGAATGGATGACAATCCAACGCCAAACCGCAACGGATTCACCATGTCGCGCAACACACAGGCCGTAACACGGCATCGTCGCACTGTCTAAACCCTGCTGTCGAGAACGCATCAACGCTTGTGCGTTGGGCCTGTGCTTCATACCACTCTCTCAAACCACCTTGTTGAATGTCCGTGCAAGAATGGATGACAATCCAACGCCAAACCGCAACGGATTCACCATGTCACGCAACACACAGGCCGGAACGCGGCATCGTCGCACTGTCTAAACGCTGCTGTCGAGAATGCATCTACGCTTGTGCGTTGGGCCTGTGCTTCATACCACTCCTTCTAAGCACCTTGTTGAATGTCCGTGCAAGAATGGATGACGATCCATCACCATACGCAAACGGATTCACCATGTCGCGCAACCCGCAGGCCTGAACGTTGCATCGTCGCACAGTCTAAACATGGCTGTCGATAACGCATCACCGCTTGTGCGTTGGGCCTGTGCTTCATACCACTCCTTCTAAGCACCTTGTTGAATGTCTGTGCAAGAATGGATGACAATCCAACGCCAAACGGCAACGGATTCACCATGTCGCGCAACACACAGGTCGGAACGCGACATCGTCGCACTGTCTAAACACTGCTGTCGAGAACGCATCTACGCTTGTGCGTTGGGCCTGTGCTTCATACCACTCTCTCTAACCACCTTGTTGAATGTCCGTGCAAGAATGGATGACGATCCATCACCATACCGCAACGGGTTCACGATGTCGTGCAACACACAGGCCGGAACGCGGCATCGTCGCACTGTCTAAACGCTGCTGTCGAGAACGCATCTACGCTTGTGCGTTGGGCCTGTGCTTCATACCACTCCTTCTAAGCACCTTGTTAAATGTCCATGCAAGAATGGATGGCGATCCATCTGTCAGAATATATCTGTAACTGCCTGTAGCTGTAGTTAGTGTAGTTATTATAAACTTTGTTTGGTGGTGCACCTTCTTTGTTACTTTGCTATATGTTCTTGCAAACCTATAGTGAAGCCCTCATTTTTCTCCTTCTCAACTTTCTCGACACTCTCCTCAACCCTAAACCTAAACTACTAAGAACCTAACTAGCAATGGCTCCTAAGCCCATCTACTCTTAGCTTATCTCAACACCATCACCATACGCAAACGGATTCACTATGTCGCGCAACCCGCAGGCCTGAACACTGCATCGTCGCACAGTCTAAACATGGCTGTCGATAATGTATCACCGCTTGTGTGTTGGGCCTGTGCTTCATACCACTCTCTCTAACCACCTTGTTGAATGTCCGTGCAAGAATGGATGACAATCCAACGCCAAACCGCAACGGATTCACCATGTCGCGCAACCCGCAGGCCGGAAAGCGGCATCGTCGCACTGTCTAAGCACTGCTGTCGAGAACGCATCAACGCTTGTGCGTTGGGCATGTGCTTCGTACCACTCTCTCTAACCACCTTGTTGAATGTCCGTGCAAGAATGGATGACAATCCAACGCCAAACTGCAACGGATTCACCATGTCGTGCAACACACAGGCCCGAACGCGGCATCGTCGCACTGTCTAAACACTGCTGTCGAGAACGCATCTACGCTTGTGCGTTGGGCCTGTGCTTCATACTGTCAGATTTATATGACTTAGCTGATGTAGGCTATACTGGGGTAGCACATATGGGGTACACTTTTCTAGGGTTTGTACTTGTACCCAACTTTCCCTTAGTCATTCCATTCCTCATTTCTTCACATGGTATAGAGCAGGTTCCCTAGCGGGAACTTTTTCCTAGGGCCCACCATTGAAAATCGAGTAATTTTTTTTTCTGCCCTGAGCCCGAGGCGCGCCCTGTCGGCCGCCCTCCCCTTAGCGGCCCGTCGCGCCGCCCTTAGCGGCCTCTCTCACGGCCCCGTCGCTGCCCTTAGTGGCCCCTAGCGGCCCCACCCTACGCGGCCTCGGCGCCGCCCCTTACGGCCCGGCCGCCCTCTTGCGGCCCCGCCGCCGCCTTCGCGGCCCACTCGCCGCCCTTCGCGGCCGCGTCGAGGCGCTTCAAGGCCCCGTCGTCGCCCTCTAGCAGCCCCGTTGCCGCCCTCCAGCAGCCCGGTCGCTGCCCTACAGCGGCTCAGTCGCCGCCCTAACGCGGCCTCGTCGCCGCCCTCTCGCGGCCCCGTCGCCGCCTTCGCGGCCCAACCGCCGCCCTTCACGGCCGCGTCGCCGCCCTTCGCGGCCACGTCGCCGCTCTTCGCGGCCCCGTCGCCGCCTACCGCGGCCCCGTCGCCGCCCTCCAGCGGCCCAGTTGCCGCCCTACTGCTCCTACCCTGGCCCTGCTGCTGCCGTCAATGAGCCGCCGAGCCGCCACCGAGCCGCTGAGCCGCCGAGCCGCCACCGAGACGCCGAGCTGCCGAGCCGCCGAACAGCCGCCGCTGCAGCCGAGCCGCCGAGCAGCCGCCGAGCAACCGCCGAGCCGCCGCCAAGCCGCCGAGCCGCCGCCGAGTCGCCGAGTCGCCGCCGAGCCACCGAGCCGCCGAGCCGCCGCCGAGCCGCCGCTGAGCCTTCGCCGAGCCGCAGCCGCCACAGTTGCGGCCCTGTTCCTGCCGGCTCGCCCCGGCCCTCCCCACCCGGACTGGTGAGAGCATTCTCGAGCAGCACCTTTGCCACTGAGCTGCCCCTACCCTGCTGCCCTTACCGCTAGACTGCTGCTGACATGGCTACCCCCAGTGTCCTTACCTTTGATGCTGAGGGTCGGGCTGTTGACTTTGGGGTCTGGGTCGATGACCTACAGCTTTTCCTAGAGTGCGATAGGGCAGACGTTCTCTCCCTCCTCGATCTCACGTCTGGTGCCTCTCCTGCCCCGCCTGCTGATGCTGACAGCACTGTTCGCTCACAGTGGGCCACACGCGATGCTGTTGCCCGTCTTGCTGTGCGTCGCCACTTACCGACCGCTGAGCATGCGCACTTTAGTCAGTACAAGAGTGCTAAGACCTTGTACGATACTGTAGTTGCACGCTACTCTTCCCTTGCCACTGCTGCCCTTAGCCGCCTCATACTGCCGTACCTGTTCCCTGACCTCGCCGCTTTTCCCAGAGTCGTTGACCTCATTACGCACCTTCGCACTAGTGACACTCGCTACCGCGCTGCGCTTCCTGCTGAGTTCTGCGCCAAGAACCCCCCCCCCCCCCCCCCCCCCCCATGTACATCACCCTCTACTACATAGTCACCCGGCTCACTGACTCCCTTCGCTTAGTCAGGCAGGGACCACTTCCTCTCAGTTTTCCCCACCACACTCACCGTTGACCTCCTCAAGGAGCGCTTCCTGGCAGCAGAGAAGATTATAGTAGCTGTCGGAGCCTCTCGTGGTGACCCTCGTAACCCCGTCTTTGAGGGGTGTTCCCCCTCCCCCCTCTTGCCCTCTGTCGCCTCTGCTGCTGCGGCCGACCTCGCTGGCTTCGAGTCGGTTGGAGCGGCGTCTGCCCCTAGCGGGAGACGCCGCACCGGCAAGGGCAAGGGGGGCGAGGGCACTGGAGGAGCTGACGGGGGCGGCGGAGGTGGAGGGGGAGGCGGTGGAGGGAGTGGGGGTGGTGGTGGGAGTGGTGGCGGGGGTGGAGGCGTCGGTGGCAGCAGTGGAGGCGGGGGTGGCGGCGGCGGTGATGGAGGGAGCGGAGGAGGCAGAGGAGGTGGAGGAGGCGGCGGCAGTGAAGCGGGTCGCGGCTCTACGCAGAGAGGTGGCCCCGGTGGTGGACAGTGCTAGCAGCAGCATCACACTCGTGAGACCCCTCCCCCCCAGCAGCTTCGTGAGTGGTACGCTGCGCGTCAGCGGGGTGGGGGTGCTGACCCCTGCACCTACGTCCTCCGTACCGGCGACCGTGCGGGTGAGCAGTGCGGGGGTCTGCACTCCACCCAGCGCTGCTTTAGCCGCCTGACGGACGCTTGGCATCACCAGTTCCTTGACGCCACAGAGATCCCTCGCTGGGGCGAGCTGTCTAGGGCGGGAGTAGCTATCTTTGATCTTGACTTTGATGCTATTCTTGCTGCCATGTATGCTGCTTAGTCGGCCAGTGGCGGTCTCCCTGGCAGACCCCTCTGGTGGTCCTGTCCTTGCCCACTTCTCTACTGTCTTACCGTGTCCGGCAGCCCCCTCTGGCACCCTGTTAGGTCTTTACCTCCCCTTGTTCTCTACGAACTTGGTGAGTGGTGCTGACCTACAGGATGGGGGGGTTCACCAGTTCACTCCTGCGAGTCAGCGAGTGACACACTTCACGTGTGCTCGGACGGGACCCCACTTGGCCACGTTTACCCGTCGGCCGGGGTCGAGCCTGTACACACTGACTACTGAGTCTCCCTCGGTTGCTGAGTCTGGTCAGGTCACTGCGTCGAGTCAGGTTTTTGCTGCAGCGTCCAGGTCTGGTCCTAAGTCTGCCCCCTGCTCGTGTCGTCTCCTGTCTCACCAGACTCTCCTCTAGCACCACCGCCTTGGTCACCCCTCCCTGCCTTGTCTCCGAGGCATGGCCTCCCGTGTCCTTGTCTCTGGTCTCCCCCGGTCCCTCCCTCCCCTTCCTCCAAGGCCTGCCCCTACCTGCGTTCCCTGCGTCGAGGGGCGGCAGCGCGCTGCTCCGCACTCCTCCGAGTTTCCTCCGACAAACGCTCCACTGCAGACGCTTCACATGGACGTGTGGGGCCCCGCCCGCGTCCGTGGACAGGGTCACGAGCGTTACTTCCTGCTGGTGGTTGACGACTACTCGCGTTACACCACATTCTTCCCCTTGCGCAGCAAGGGTGAGGTCACTGGGGTGTTGATCGACTGGATCCACGCAGCTCGTCTCAAGCTCAGAGAGAATTGCGTCTCTGACTTTCCTGTTCTACGCCTGCACTCCGACAGAGGCGGAGAGTTTTCCTCTGACCTTCTGCGAGCCTTCTGTCGTGCACAAGGCATCCACTAGACGTTCACGCTTCCGGCCTCTCCACAACAAAATGGGATTGCTGAGCGCCGCATTGGCATGGTCATGGACGTCGCTCGTACGTCCATGATCCATGCGGCTGCCCCCCCATTTTCTGTGGCCGTTCGCGGTTCGGTACGCGGCGCATCAGATCAACCTTCAGCCCCGCGTCTCCTTGCCGGAGACCTCCCCTGCTCTGCGGTGGACGGGGAAGGTTGGCGATGCGTCTGCGTTCCGTGTCTGGGGATCTCGGGCGTTTTTCCGCGACTTGTCTGCGTGCTGTTCCCCCGTGCTGTTCCACCTCTTCCTTGGCTTCCCCCCTGACGCGCCAGGTTGGCAGTTTTACCACCCCACCTCGTGCCGTGCTCTGTCCTCTCAGGACGTCACGTTTGACGAGTCGGTTCCCTACTACCGTCTTTTCCCCTACCGCACTGCGTCCCTCCCTCCACCACCGCTCTTCCTTGCACCAGGTCCCCCCCCGGTAGACCCCCTCCCCCCTCAGGGTCTTGCCCCCTCAGGTGTGTCCCAGGTAGACGCAGTCGAGCCTGCCGAGGAAGCTGGTGACTCTGGTGCTGCTAGGGGTGCTGAGCCTGCGGGTGCCAGGTCTGGGGGTGCTGAGCCTGGGGGTGCTGACTCTTGGGGTGCTGAGCCTGGGGGTGCTGAGACTAGGGGTGCTACGCCTGGGGGTACTGCGCCTAGGGGTGCTGCGCCTGGGGGTGCTACACTTGGGGGTGCTGCGTCTGGGAGTGTGGAGTCTGAGAGTAGTGGGCCTACTCGAGTGGCGTCTGGCGGTGCTAGGCCTGGAGGTCCTTCGGGTGCTTCCCCACGGCGGGAGCTCCTCTCTCCACAAGAGGTGCGTGAGTGGTTTGCCCAGCGCTAGAGGCGTGCTGCTGGAGCTGGAGGTTCTACTGCTGCTGACGGTGGTTGTACCACGGGTCCCGGAGGTGCTCGTACTGGGAGTACTGGAGCTGCTGGGCCTGAGGGTACTTCTGGTGCTGGAGCAGGAACTGCTGCGTCTTCTGGTGGTCCGGCTGGAGCTGGAGCTATTGAGGGTGTTGGCGGTGAGGGTACTGCTGGCGCTACTGGAGGTGGTCCTGCTGGAGGTGCTGCTGGTGCTGCTCAAGGTCCTGGAGCTGCTGGAGCTGCTGGGGGTACTGGTGCTGGAGGTCCTGCTGGCGCTGGTGCTTCTGAGGATGCTGGAGTTGACGCTGCTGGAGCTGGTGGTGCTGCTGGCGCTGGTGCTACCACTGGGGGTACTGGTGCTGTCCCTGCTGTTTCAGGAGTCGCTGAGCGGCCTCGGCCGTACTTCGTTCCGCTCCTTGAGCAGGTTCTTGGTCTCCCGCCTTCTACTGGTCCTCCTCCTCCCTTAGAGTGTCCACAACCTGTCCCGTCGCAGTTACAGTTACAGCTCGCCTCCCCACTGCCTGCTCCTTCTCCCTACACTGGTCCTACTGGAGGTCTTGCTGAGCGTCGTCAGCCTGCGTCTCGTCCTGAATCGCCTGTCCGTGCTGCTCGCACTAGCGGTTGTGGTTCGCGTCCGGGTCCTCCCCCTGTGCCTGGCACACACCGGATGTCTCTCCGTCCGTCCACTGCTCCTCTGCGTGCCCCTCTGCGTGCCCCTTTTCCTTCTCCTCCAGAGTCCTCTCTTCCTGCTATTGCTGACCCGGAGTCGGACTCCCTTCGTGCTGCCAGTCCTACTGTCACGCGTCTCCTTGCTACTGTTGTCACTGATGTCGGAACAGTGGGGGTATCCCATAGGGGGTACAACCCAATTAGGGTTAGTACTTGTACCCACTTCTTTCATAGTTCATTCCATTCTCGTTTCTTCTCATGGTATCGAGCAGTTTCCCTAACGGGAACGATTCCTAGGGCCCACCACTATGAACTTTTTTTTTTCCTTCCCGGAGCGCGCTCCGCTTAGGCCCGAGTCGCGCCTCATGTGCCCTCTCTACCGTCGCGCCCTCCCTAGGCCTCCTTCGGCCCCGTCGCGTCGCCCCTAGCGGCCTCCCTCGCGCCGCCCTTACTCGGCCCGTCGCCGCCCTTCGCGGCCCGTCGCCGCCCTTACTCGGCCCGACGCCGCCCTTCGCGGCCCATCGCCGCCCTTACGCGGCCCGTCGCCGCCCTTCTCGGCCCGTCGCTGCCCTTCGCAGCCCGGCGCCGCCCTTCCCGGCCCCTCGCAACGCCCTAACGGCTCGGCGCCATCCTCTACGGCCCCTAGCGCCGCCCGTACCGGCCCGTTGCCGCCCTTCGCAGCTTCGCGTGCCGCCCTTACGGCACGCCGCCGACCTCTGCGGCCCCTCGCGCCGCCCTCTTACAGCCTGCCGTCGCCGCCCATCGGCTCAGCCCGCCGCCCTTGCGGCCCCACGAGCCGCCCGTCGGCCCGCCGTGCGCCACCCTACCCGGCCCCGGCGCCTACTCCTGCGGCCCCAGCGCCGCCCTTCCCGACCCCGCGGCCGCCCCACCTGCCCTCAAGCTGCCGCTCTACCTACCCTAGAGCCGCCGCTCCACCTACCTGTTAACAGGAATGGAGTGTTGGCCCCGCCCTCACTAGGGCAACGCCGACGACTTGGTCGGATGCACGGGAGTAGCAGTCGACTGTTCATAGTGGGATAGCTGCTCGACAGGTTACGTCAAGCTGCAGCGGACCGCTGTGGTGTTGCTGTCGACCAAGGAGCTCGACAGCTGCAACTGACTGGTTTGTGCGACGGGTGGGCCGTCCGGGAGGTCGACGAAGCAGTCCGTCGACCTACTGTTCGACCGGGAGGTCGACAGAGCAGTTCTGGTCGATGGAAGGGGTCCGTAGACCAGGGGGTAGCTTGACGGGAGTTGTGGTCGACCAGGAGCGCTTGGTGGTCGACCAGAGGGACCCAGTGGTCGACCGGAGGCAACCACAGGGTCGACCAGAGCACCAGGGGTCGACCAGGTCGACCTGGTGACCTGCTCGACGAGCTCTACGAAGGCTCGCGAACGTCGTCGAGATTGCGATGGCGCAGGCGACTTCGGACTGGTATCCCAAAGTCGATGTGGCTCGTCAGGCGCAGACAACAGCCGACGGATGCCTAACGAGGCAAGTCGGACCAATCGTCTGCGCACACCTGCGAGCGCGCGCACTGCTGTGTTCTACGGGGCTCGCCGTCGACCTGCTTTGTTGGCAGGTCGCCCTTCTGCAGTGCTGGCGCGGCTCCTCTACGCAATGCTGGTAGGCGGTCGACCGAGCTGTGCTGGCAGTCGACCAGGCTAGATGCAGGGTTGCTAGGTGCCTGATGTAGTCATTGTTGTCATTGCTTCTTTCATCATTCTGGAATTCTTAACTTTGCTAGTGGAAACTCTTGCCAATTTCTTCTGTGAATGTGCAAGCACTAAGGAACCAAGCAAAGCTGCGATCACCTCTAGTAGTTCGTGCCAACCCTGTAGTCTAGCTCACTGCCGTTGTAGAGTGAATCTCCACATGGTGCGGTGAGCGTGGAACGAACAAGCGACCATCAGATAGGAGCCGACTTTTGCACCTACTAAGTCGTTCGTAGGCCGGCAGCAGCGATAGTCGCCATGGTCGACCCCGTAGTTGATGTGGGTGTAGCGGACACTTTGGAGGCACGTTTGGCTGACGCGAGGAGACGCCACGCGAATGGCGAGTACGGGACGATCCCCTTAGTGATCGCCGAGTTGGGCATCCGGTCGCAGTGGGCGACGGAACACCCTTCCCGTCCTGCATCTCCTCGACCGGTGCGCAACGAAGGTGGCGTCGACGACGAGGTCGACGGTGGTGCACGAGTTAGCGGCAGCGAAGGCACGAGGCAGAGAGGAGTGATCAAGG